GGTGCATTTCATGTGACGTAATCCAAAGACATGTTTTAAACGATGTTCACAATTTTTTTTTAATAATAATAATAATAATAATAAAGTGGTAAAGAGTTACAATTGGCACATCGGTTCATAATTGTATTAAAATCAGATAAATAAGCCAAATATGACAATTGAGCGACCGTGCTAGAACCACGGAACTCGGGAATGCCTAACACCTTCTCCCGGGTTAACAGAATTCCTTATCCGGATTTCTGGTTCGCAGACTGTAATATGGAGTCATTCTTTTCCTCGATTCGGGATTAAACTGGTGACTTGGGACACCCTAAATCTCCCAAGTGGCGACTCTGAAATAAATAAACAAATCCCGTTTCAACTGTCCTTTAATTGGAAAAAACTCCTTGTACCCTCGCGGGGGCGGAAAAAGGAGGTGTGACAGGCCTGCTCAGGCCTTCTCTCGCATTTGCGATGATTTATTCGCATTTGTGAGCCAGACTTCGCAAATGCGAAGCCTACAGACTTGCAACATACCAGCAATTTCTAAGTCCAAATTTCACTCTGTGGCCTATCCAAATTTCATCTGAGCCCTCGGGGCTCCAAACCAAACATGTACACTAACCCAAAAATATCATACGGATTTGTTCGTGCAACCAAATCACCAAAATAACATCAACAACTATGAATTTAGCATCAAAATCAAAGAAAATATCAAGAACTTTCAAAGTTTCAAATTTTACAACTAAGGTTCCGAATCACGTCATATGACCTCCGTTTCTTACCAAATTTTACAGGCTCAACTTAAATCACATATAAGACTTGTACCAGGCTCCGAAATCAAAATACGGGCCCGATACCATCAAATTCCAAACACATTTCATTTCCAAAAACTCATATTTATTCCAGAAAATAATTTTCTTTAAAAATTCATTTCTCGGGCTTGGGACCTCGAAATTTGATTCCGGGCATACGCCCAAATCCCATATTTTCCTACGGATCCTCCGGGACCGTCAAATCACGGGTTCGGGTCCGTTTACCCAAAATATTGACCGAAGTCAACTTGAATTCATTTTAAAAGCAAATTTTTATCATTTTCCACAGATTTTCACATAATGGCTTTCCGGATACGTGCCCTGACTGCGCACGCAAATCGAGGTGAAACAGAAAGAGGTTTTAAAGCCTCGAAACACAGAATTTATTTTTAAAACAAGTGATGACCTTTCGGGTCATCGCAGAATTGTTGTTACATATCGTTTTATAGTATATCGTATTATATTGTATTTTTTTATGAATATAATGTTTGGATAGATTGTATCGTCTGTTGTCATTTCACGGTGTCACGCACCAACAATATGGAGAATAAACTTGTAACATTACTAAAAAAAGATAAGACACATAATAGAATTATTATATCAAAAGTATGGTAAAGGATAAAATATACTAATTATTTAATAATACGAAAGGGTAAGATGAGAGTAAAAAAGTAAGGTAATGATGCCACGACACTAAATTTGATGTTTTATAAAGTGGATTTGTTCATTGTTACGTAATAATAAATTTAATACGATACGATAAAATTTAAGTAACAATCAAAACAAATATTATATTTACAGTAACACTCATATGCCATATGCCATATGCCATATGCCATATGCCGTAGAATAGGTAATATGCATCCAAACAAACTGTGAAACAAAACAAACGAAGTGGGTACCAAAAAGTTACAAGAAACAGTCGCTAATATGCCTTTCTAAAGGCACCCGTGAATCTGTTTTGTAAGTACTATTATATAGATGACATTTCCTTTTCAGAATTGTGTCCCCTTTGCCTGAGAAATAAGAACCATTTCCAGAAAGGATGGTTATCTATAGTAAAGAGAAAATGCATTTGCAATTCCACTTCTGACAATAACCTCAATAATATTATATTCTCCCACAAACCCTCAATATTTGTAAGAGCATGCATCATCCACATAACACTACTATTTAGTATTTAGTTTTACAGATCTTGCTAGTAATATAGTTAAATCTTTCTATAATAATTTTGTTGGTTTTAATTTTTTTTGCTGGTATAGTACTAAAGTGTTGTTATAGAAGACATATATTATAATATAATATGAAAATCAGTTCCTAGAAAATTTAACTTTTAATTATAGAGAGGTCTGACGGGTCATAGCCAAAACAAAATAGCATGTGTTAGCAATATGAGAGCCAAGCCCGCAGTCAACAACATGCTAAAAAATTGTATATTTTCTAATTCGTGGTGTCTGGTTGTGGCTTGGGGTAATGAGGGACTGTAGCTACAAGGAGAAACGAAAACTCTCCCTAGGAGGTGTGCCATATCTCCCTAACAAAGCAGATGATTATCCTTTCAGGGTTTGGTTAGAAACTAGCTATACATATAGATCAAGGGGACTGAGTAAATCTAGCTGGGTTTGTATTTCTTGCATTGATAATTAATAAAATGTCCATAGTTACCAAAAAAGAGGTCCGACTGTATATCGTAAAAATAGTACGGTATAGCCAGTTTTCGGACTGGCCATTCAAAAATAGCCTGTGTTTACCAAATTAATGAAAAATAGCCACTATTTTGCTGCAACAGAGACCGGTCCAGCATAATATATTGGAGTTCGGTGCACCTGTGTATGAACTCCAGCATATTATGTTGGACCGGTATACTTTGCTGGCTCCAGTATAATATACTGGAGATTGGAGCACCGGCGCTCCAAACTCCAGTATATTATGCTGGACCGGTATACTTGCTGGAACTCCAGTATATTATGCTGGAGTTCTAGTGTACTTATGCTATTATGCTGAAGTTCCAACATACTTATCCTGGAACTCCAGTATAATATGCTGGAGTTCAAGTATACTTATGCTGGACTTCCAGCATAATATACTGGCGTATTTTCCGAGTTTTGAACAGTGTTTTCCCTCAGATTTATCTTTAAATGAAAAATGGATAAATTTCGATTACTTTTGAAACTGGGTTATTTTTGAACGACCGGTTATAAATCTGGCTATTTTTTAATTTCACCCCTGTATATCGTACTCTTACTACACAACCACAAGCCCAAGAATAAAAATAGAGTTATTATGAGCTAAATTAAGCTTATTATTTTCGGGTTCAAATTATATAGGCAAAAAAAGATTAAAATGCATAGAATCACACTAATTTAGAGCCCACTGACTTTATATTTTGGATTTGTTTCTGCATAACCTATCATTTTTTCGTTCTAATTATTTAATCATATGCAAGAAATACGTGTATCTTTAATGAAACTACTAATTCCGAACCCACTCACTTTATATTCTAAATTCATATCTGCCTAGGAATGTGGAATGCAAATCGATACTGGCCTGTACTGGTGGAGTTAATCTCATCCTGCTGTTCCGTCATCGTTAGACCTTTCTTTATACTTGACTTTACAAGAAAACAATGACAAATTTTCAGAAAGCTATTGGTTACGAACGAAGATCATAGTTAGATGCACACAGTACATTTTAAATATCATAGACCATAGACCAGTGGCGGAGCCATGCTTTCACTAATGATATCCAAAACATAAAAAAGTAACACAAAAAAGCTAATTTAATTCAACATACAATATACATAAATATTTTTAAAAAATGCCTATGCATGCAATATAATTTTACATTACACACTCCACCATATACATATTGATTATTGAGATGCGAGCATTATTGACAACATCACTCGCACACATGAAATTGGCTCTTCGAATTATTTCCCTTCGGAGTAGGTCGAAAAATATGTAAAATGAAACAAGGAAATAAGAAATTGTGTGCAAGTAGATCCAAGATTCTACGCAAAGATACCATCATATATTAATATTTTATATTATGTATATAATACTTAAACCTAATTTTTTTTTATACACATTAATCTCATATGCAAGTTGCAGGCATATGTCTATCATTCTTTAACGTACATCTGCGAATAAACAACAATTTAGCAATTTTCTAAGCACAGAACAAGGGGTCCCACATGCTCTTCTTACTTTTGATAGCAAAGAAACAAAGACATACGCTTGTTGGGCCCACAACCTGACTGAGCCTACTTCGCCTTTTGTCTCACCGCCCAATCTTTCTGTACTATACTCCAAAATCCAGTTCATTTCCCTCCTTTGAAAGCCCTGAACCACTTTCACGTGTGGGCCCAAAAGCCCACTTTTGCTGCTTTGGACCGCACCCCCCATCACTTTCGAGACGATAATCCGTACTTTTAAGCCCACCCGCGCCAACTCTCACGCGCCTCCCTCATGGGTAGTAAGCTAGTAGTATTACTCACTGTGCCATGTAAATTGTTTGATCAACTCATTTTATTGATGAAAGTTGATAGCTGATCTAACTATTTACATGCTATGGCGGAGCTCCACCACTTGAGGAGGTGCGTGGAGGCTGGAGCGAGTGAGGATATGACTTTACTTAATCTCCACTAATATTTATTTACCGTTAGTGCTTGGCCGGCGGAGTGATCGGAGATAAATATACCTGACTTTGTACCACCGTTTTCCCAACATTAAACCCCGGAACCACCGTGAATGCCACTTTGAACTCGCCGCCGGCAGCTGAAAAAATCTCGTCCGTGACACTTTCCATGTAAACCTCAGAAAATCTACAGCTCTTCCTCACTTGAAAAATGCTAACTTGTTGATCAAAAGAGAAGGCTAAGCAATGCAAAAGCCACACACGCCGCCCCATCTCGCTAAAAACCTTGAAGAACTCTGTTTCCGGGAACTCGCCGGAGTTCACAAGCTTCCTCTGATTCAAGTTCCCGGAGAATGAAAACTCCATTTTTGGATGAACCAAATGAAGGTATTTAGCCTTCAAGAATTTTCCAAACAGAGAAGAAGGATTCTGCTTGAGAAAATGGGTTACACTCACAGATTTCAGCTTCTTGAACTGTTCAAAGAAGAAACTCCGGCGATTTGTTCCACCGGAAAATAAAGAATCGTCGTTCTGAACAGAAAATGCAGGCTCGTTAAACCCACTGAAAATCTCCCTGCAAACAAAGGACTCAAAGGCAAAAGCCCTGTGATTACTCTTGTGGAAAGTGACACCATTTTGAATAGAGTTTGTAGCAGCGTCAATATCCCAGTTAGCAGACTCCATTTCTTTAATCAAGAACTTGACAAAGTTGCGTATAGATCTCATGGCATAGTGCAAAACCATGATAAAATCTTTAGGGTTTACGTCAGATAACTTGACATTATCAAGAATAGAAAATGATCCACTAGCATTAAGCTTTCTCTCTAATGATTTGTTGTTTTGAATGGTTTCTTGTAGCTCATTTTGGAGAGAAGATATGCTGTACCCTTTGGACTCAATTTCACCTTGCATTTTCTTCATAGTAATTTCGTAAGTTTTCATGACAGATTGCTGTTCTTGAATCTCAGCAAGCATTAGGGTTACATGGGGTGGTGAAGAATCAATTTGTTTTTTGAGGTAACTGTGTTTGAGTTCAGATAAAGCTTTGAGTTCATTTACCACAGCTTGATCTGCAACTTGGATTGCTTCACTGTTATAAGGGAACTGAGCTAACTGAAGCTCAGCATAAGCAGCTTTAACAGAGGAAACTGTGGCAAAAAGCTTAGCAACGAAGGCTTCCATAACAGCTTTGTTCTTGGAATGTTCTTTGCACTCTTCAATTTCTTCTTTGTCAAAGTGTTGGGACTCACAACACCTGAGCTTTTCTTGAGGTATGAGGAGGCAGAACCCATTATTTGAGAATGGTTTTGAGGATTTTTTGCCATGGATTACTCTGTGAAATGTCTTTGCTAGCTTGCTTTTAGTTGGAACTGGAGTTGGTCTCACTGAATCCATTTGATCTCTATGAGCTGATGAGATGCAGAGGAATGCTGAGTGGGAGAAAAATGGGTGATTAAATTTTAGGACATGAAAAATGGAGTCTTTGAAGTTTGAAGTGTGAACTGAAGGAAGAAAATATTTGAGGGAAAAAGGAAAAGGGTGTGCTTAAAAAGTCCAAAAAAGAGGGGAAATTAAAGAGAGGATATGGCAGAGGGAAAAGGAGGGAAAAGCAGAGTCCCTCTTATTTGACTCAAGGTTGAAGGTGAAGGAATAGGTTAAGAGGTGAATGGTAAAAGCAAAGATTTGGCGCGAGAAAGAGAAATCATTCATTGAGGTGCATATAATAAGCTTAAGATAGTAGCAGTAGAAAATGTCATAGTACTAGCTTTTTCTTTTTTTTTTTGCTGTTTTTTTTTTGTGTGAGAAAGGAAAGCAACAAGGGAAAGTTAATAAATACTTCCAACTACCCCTGAAATAATTTGCTGGTCATTTAAGAGAGTGAAAGTCAGAGTGTATATTTAAAGCAAAGATTTCTAACATCATTCATGTAAACATACGACTCCTCTTTCTCTATCATAGATGCTTCTTGAGCACAAGTCACAACCTATGATCTAATGATTTTGCATGAGTGAGCCAGGATTTAACATTCAAAAAAAACATAAAACATCTCGTATTTATGTAGGGTTTGAGGGGCGCATTCAAATGAATATAATGTAAATAATTTATCCTAATATAAGTTTAGGATTATTTTCAAACATGCTTATCTATAAAGTGACATGAAAATAACTTTAAAGTTACACTAGCTCTATCTTCAAGGATTTACCATTCACAACTAAAATCTAATTGTGAATTTACAACAAAGTTGGGAAGGCAAATTCAGCCACCTTGTAACCAAAGGCTAAACCAATTATGGATGGTATGCACGGTCCTTTCTTGTGAAGCATGTTCGGCAAATTTGTTCTTTACCAAAGAAGTTAATAAAACCTAAACAGTACAATAAACTTTGCTTCCACCGTGTTCTACTTTTTAAAGCTCTTTCCCGCGGTACTTTACAACCTTGTTATCATCTTGACAAATTAAGCATTCCAATGTACATTAACGGTCGTTTGCGTGGGGTGTATCAATATCATATTTTCTTTTTTTGTAAGTCTAAACAATATTTTTATTTTCTATACTTTAGAAATAATTTGAAATACTTAAACAAAATTTAGTTATAATTTTTATAATAAATATTTAATATTATTTATCTACTTAAGTAATATCAACTATTAAGTAATTCTTTCATAATCTTATTTGTAATTTGACTAAAAAAGTATCTTTTTAAAAATTTGGCTAAACATATAAATTGAAGCGCAAAAGTATTTTTTTTGTTTTGTCAAACTTCTAAAATCAACTTATTTTGAAAAATAATTTTTTCAAAAGTGCATTTTGAAAAAGTACTTTCGTGAAAAAAAATACTTTTGGGGAGAAATTATTTTTTCTGTTTCTCAAAAACTATTTCTCCTATTACTCAAAAATATTTTTTTTTCTTCTAAAAGTTTGGTCAAACACCTTAGCTTTGGAAAAAGGTAATTTTGGCCCAAAAAATTTTTTTTGGTTAAAATAACCAAACATGCTATTTGTCAAGTATAAAATGCTTTTCTCCATAAATATTTTTTCAAAAATTACAATATTCTTTAAAATAAATTGATTTTAAAAGCATGACCAAGGATATCATATGACTATTATCACGTATGAGTATTTGGGGCACATAATTTAAGAACGAAAATTAGAATTTGCAAACATTTGGCAGAATGGTGGAGTGTCGTGGAAGTTGTACGAGGGTTTTCAGAACTGTGGCAATATGGGAAAGTGGATCACTGCATGAGCCAACGTGCAATGGGGTCGAGGACTGCAATATAAAGGTTTATGTTACATATAAATCAGATAAATATAATTTTACCGTTACCATTTTGTTATTGGTTTTCTCTTTTCACCGTGGGAATGCACTAGGAAAATATGGCCTATAATTATAATTGAAAGTGTAAAGCAGGTGGTAGGCACTGTTTAATAATAGTGGGGTCCGAATAATGAATCCAGTCAAATAGGAGTACCATAAAAAGAAACATTAGGTATTATACGGACCCTATTTGACTTGAGGTGTGAGAGGGGGGCCTCCAAGTGAGTGGGTGGGGGTACTTAAGAATCTATTATTCCAAGCAAACTGGCAACAACTATACCTTAATTGTTATTAACCATAATAATAATCCAAATAAGAAACATAATTTAATGAAATTAGTACTAAAGAATAAAGCTAAACTATAGATTACTAAATAATGGTACAATTGCTAATATTCTGCCTTTTCACAAAATTGCGCAATGCAATGAGTCGGTGGTGAACATATTATTCTCATTCTAAAGTTTACTGGTACCATCTGATACGTACGGGGATACTGTCTTTAATAAATTAAATGATATTTACAGCTATATAGTTAATAATATACTGCTATTTTCTTGGAAACACTTCATAGATCTCTAAGTTTTTGAAAGAAAAATAGTTTAATTGCTTCAGCCGGTAATCTCTACAATAAACAAAATTCACAGCTCTGAAAATTACTCGAGTAAAACCACTTTAAAAAGTAATTTTAAGTGACAAAAATATTTTCACTTCACGAGTAAACAATACATATATTGAGAATTTCTAAATAAAAAAATTAAGTTACCACGCACTACGGAATTTTACGGAAAAAAGGATGAGGACTTTTAATTATTTTTCTTTTGGTTGTGACTTAACTCTTACAAATTGCAATTGCATTTTAGTGCATGAAAACAGAAATCTGCATGAGAGATATTAATTGTTGAGTGAGTTATAATGCAGCATTATTATACCTAAAACGTATATCCAGCGCATGCTTGAAAAGCACATCTCCCAAAAGATAGTAGTATGATTATGCCGAAGAAGGTTCTAGATTGTCAACATTATGCATATAAAATCAATATTATGGTTTACTTACCTAAGAAAGGTTCGTTACATCAAGTTTAGCACAATGGACTTGAAACGATCGAATCATGATTTTGGTCAAATTTTAAAAAGAAATTATCATTAATTATAACTTTAGAACTTTTTATCAAGATTTTATTTAAGGAATCTTCATCTCGTTGTTTCATAAAAGAGGTCGAACATGAATGCTCATCTGTATTTCTCACTTTAAAGCATTTAAGAACATAATTTGAATTGTATATACGTATTGTACTGGGCATTTTTGCATGATCACTCTTATTTAACTTTTTATACTAAATTACTTTAGTTTGCAAGCTAAAATTCAGACTTACAACAGGCAATTTTTGTGTAATTGAATTTAGATAACATGCTAGTATAAAGGGCACAATTAAACTTTTCATTTGGACTTGTACAAAACGGGTTGATTTTAGGCACAGTTTCCTATGCCTTAGTTATCGGGATCCGAAATCCCATAAGAGGTACCGAGGTTTTCTTAGTTCGTTGTTCGAGGGACTTGGTTTTATTTTCTCATTTTTGTCATCAGTTTCACACTGGTCAGTTGATTCTTTGAGCTGTGCACTTGTTCTAGTTTATTATTTAAAAAAATAAAGAAGACAAAAACATGAAAAGTTTCCTGGCTAATCTTTGAGAAATCCCTCAATTGTTTATAACTGTTTATCTGGAAAATGATAATTATAATTAGATTTAATTTTGTGATTTTAAAAATACGTGATCTGTTTTTATACTAGTTATTAGGTAATATGTACTAAGTATGAGACTAGAAAAATAACATAAGAAGTTGCAAATAATATGTTTAAGCAAACCGAATGCCTAAGAATCGGGGCCTCGAGCCTGGCTATACGGGACCTCGAGGTCGAGCTCGATATTGAGTTATGAGCAGCCGATGAAGGGCTAACAATATTGGGAGCTTTGATGAAGTCTCTTTATGGTCAATGATGAGCAATAAATGAAGAACAATAAATAGAACACAATAAATATAAGCAATAAATGTAAGTAGTCAAATCTAAAGAATGTGTTTAAGTTAGAGAGCAGAGAATGTTCTTATTCTTGTATTCAATATTGTGTATCTTGTGTAATATCATATGTGCAAAAAACAGTAAAGGTCCCCTTTATATAGGAAGAGGGAATCCCAACATAATACATGTGCATTTATTACAAAGAAATGTAGCTGGTACAACTACTTAGCAGTCTGGTACAGACTGGTACTATTCTTGTAGGTGTTGTCAGCTTGGACCACGTGCCTAGGGAACTTCCCGTTTATCCATGATAACCACCGACTCGTGCTGCCTCGAGGTCGGGTATAAAGAACCCTCGAGGTCGAGACCTCGAACTGTGTCGGGGCCTTTGAGGCGAAGCTATGGAGAAGACATAATGACCACAAAATCGGGCTTTCCGATTTCACCTGTATATAGATAGTCCCCGCATTTCTTAGAGTAAAACGATAAGAAACGATCTCGAATTCCTGCTCCTTCGATATTTCCATCACGACTGTAGTCACGCCCTATCAAGCGATTGGCACGACAAAATGAGATGTCTTAAAGGTCGCGTCCGCACAGCCATTAAAAGCCTTTGGATTAATCACAATGGTTGGCTGTCCTTTGGCCTACCCCAATGCGCGTGTTAGACCTCTATAAGTACTTCTTCTTTTGCTCCTTATTTTCCATTGTACCACCAAGCCCTCAAAAGAGTTCTCCTTACTTCTCATTTGTGTTTTCTTCTGAAATGCAATTTTCATCTCTCTTCTGAAACCTTTTAATAAGAATGGCGAAAACTTACATCTTTGTTCCTTAGGAAGATGTGCCATCTTCTTCCTCGCGCCTATCTAAGGGTAAGGCAACAATGCCTCCTCGCGCCGGGGAATGCATTCTAGGGGCCTTTGAAATGACCTCCGATTTTAAGACCGAAAGACCCTCTTCGAAGCCGGGTCAATACAAGCCCGTGTCCCAATATGTTAGTTCACTAGTAGACATCAAAGGGTGAAGGCCGACTGCCGCTGGGGGTACGCGGTTGTCACGACCCAAACTGAAGGGCCATGACTAGCACCCGACCACACTTGCCGAGCACCAACGTACATTTCATCTAACCTTCATTATTATCTTTTAAGGCTGACGAGATCAATATAAATGGTAGACCTAGATCATGGACAACCAGCAATAAAATATGACGGCATGAAAATACATAGCAGGGGATGACCAGACAATCAAGAAACTACATATAAGGTATGAGCTACCACGCTACTATGAAAGACTATACAACAAAAACTAGCCGACAAGGCATACCAAACTATACATGAGCCGACACCTGTCTATGAGCCTCTAAAAGAACATAAGTGTTGCAACATAGCCGGAACAGGGCCCCGACATACCCATAATGTCTATAACAAAAATTGCATACCAAGACCAAGGCAAGTCCGGAGAAGGGATCTCGCCAATCACCGCTGAACTGGACAGTCTACTGTGGTGGGGGAGCTGCAC